ATGTGTCAATCCTGTGGACTCTGAAGGAAGGTCTTGGGGAGGAAGTATGTTTGCAATTGGATGGAGAAAGGCCATGGTTGCATTTCAATTATTCGGCCGCTATAGGAACAAAGCTGCCATTGCAAATGCCCCGGACATTTACGATAACCTGATGCAACAGTCTTGCAAGATCCCCAGCATACTGGGTCAAATCTTCAAACAACTAGCCAATGTAGCGTTTTCCAATAATCAAGAGCTCATGAAAGAATACGGCATTCCTTCAATTGGCCACCTATCCTTTGGAAAGCCAATCAATGATGATGATTGTGCCCCCAATCTCACTTTCACCACCAATCAATTCTGGAATCCGCCACACTGTGACCCAGAAGACCTTTCGGAATTTGCTTTTGGCATGTTTATTCCAGTTAACCGGACAGATTTCTCAATTGGTGGCGTGACCAGTCCATCGACATTAAGTGGTGGTCAATTTGTATTTCCCGATTGTTGAGTTGGAATCGATTTTTCTAAGCACAATGGCTTTGTCAAGCTCGTGTGGAGGTCAAAAGAAGTCCGACATTGTACTCTGTTCTCGACAAATGATGAAATGTTTGACCAACTTGGAATGTCACTAAAGATCAACAAGAAGACGGCCACAGCTTCCCGAGACACTCACAGCGGTGCAATTTTCAACCAACGTGCTTTCAGAGACAAGCCTCGCGAAATGTGTTACATTGGCAATCATGAAACTTATGTTAAAGGTGAAAGATAAGTTGAAGGCCCGTTGGTCAAATACTATCTTCAAGAACAATGGTCACACTTCTTCACCTTTCATTGCATTATAAACGGAAGCTATTCAGATGATAAGTGATGTCAGTGTCCTCACCAAATATTTGTTTGTCATTATGATAACTTGTCAATCTAATTGTGAAATCGTCATAATTGTTATTGCCAAGTCCTCACAAAGGCCTCACAAACGTATTTTAATCTTCAAAAAAGATGAAACAGTGTGGTGACCATAAATATACATACATTGACGCATTGCCCTTTTCAGGATTATGAGTTGTTGCCAATCCCTTAACTGGACTCATAATCGATACTGATTAGTTGTTTGATAGGTATGTAGAATAATCAAATTGGTCTAAGTCTAACCAGTGTGGAAGGTATTGGTTACCGTGGCACGGAGAAACACCATGCCGTGGGAGTAGGTACAAATCACAATCGACTTTGGTAAGGCCTTGAACCTGACCAGGCGAAACAAAACGTGGTGTGAGGCATTCTAATTTGTATTTAAGAGTCGCCTTTTGCCCATTCATGACAAAGCTACAACCCCCAGTTTCCCTTCATCCCTTGTCATCTTTCATCAAGCCTCAAATCATTTCTCGAGTCAGCACATACCATAAATGCTCAACCCAATTACAGTTGACCCAAGCGCTTCCGATAAAAACAGATCCTTTGTGATGGAAATCCCCTTAGCCTCAAATGATTGACTGAGTTTTTCCGGTTGGTGCATGTTGGGAGAAATGGTAAAGTTAAGGCTTGCCTTTGCTCTTTGATGAGTGTGAGCTGACTTATCTAATTTGACAGTCAAAGTCCTGGGACTGGGACCGTGGGACATATAGTATATACAAAATTCTCCTCCCATCCTGCCCAGTGGTCAACAATATTGAAGAGCGAGTCTATTTTGAGGACAAATGTGTGGTTGAAACAATAGTTGCACCGTGTCTGGATTGGCATGGCTGTGGACTAGACGTTGGTTCAGTATACAAGATTTGTGGTCTGATAAGTCGCGACGACACATGTGGGAAGACTTGGGAATTCAACCCACTGCTTGCGCATACACCTAATGGTTCCAAGCTATACTCGGACCCTGATGGTTTTCAGATTTCTGGTGAGGGAAAGGTCAAATCTGTAGCTGAAGTAGAATTTCGGTCTGTGGGAGGGAGAGATTACCTACAAGTCATGCTTAGCCACCAACCAACAGTAAGTAAAGCAAAACTTCATTAGGAAAGAGATGTTGTGGTCTAACTAAGCTCTTTAGGACCTTTCATCTTGTATCCACATACAAATATTTGTTGCCACGGATCTACTCGACGTGATGATCAAGGATGACGGATTGGTTGGATCATACATAGTTTTCTCTGGTTGGTTCATTGGAGAGGAGGTTGAAACAGGTACAGTCTCCTCCCAGATGTTTATAGCCATCTGTTTTGAGCTCCACACAGGGATCCCAAAAACTTCAAGTCACAAGAGTTTTTGGAATGGTGTAAAATGGGTCTCAAAGAATTGATATGAAAAAATAATATTAAAAAACAAGATTATCAAATTTGTAAAAAATAAAAATGAGAAAATCACAAAAACTGTCAGCTCTAATATTTCTTTCAGGAAAAGATGAAATCTCAGAGATGATAGTATGAGATCTGGAATGAATAATATGAAGTGAAAATTTGGAACAAAATGACTACTTGGTGGTTTAAAAAGGGTGCCTAAGGGGTCATTCACCAAGAAATGTGGCATTCTGGTACTGCAATCTACTAATTTTGACTGCAGGGTATCCACCCACCATGCTCAAAATGTTTTGGGATCAATATTTTTCATTTATAATCATTCTTTTCATTTTCCAAACTTGCCCTCTGTGTGTTCACTTTTCACTCAAACCAAAAATTAAAGTTTTCAAAAAAAGTTGATTTCCTTTTATCTTTTTCACAAATTTTAAAATCTTGTTTTTTATTGTTATTTTTTCATATTCATTCTTTGAAACCTATTTTCCACCATTCCACAAAATCTTGTGACTTGCAGTTTTTGGTTTCCCACTGTGGAGCTCAAAGCAGATGGCTATAAACATCTGGGAGGAGACTGTACATTAATATTACTTGTAAGTAGAGTTTGCTTGCTCAATGTGATCCGAACTGACAACTCCATTGTTAAAGGTTGAATAATCAGAGAAGTTTGAGGTTATACGGGCTTGAAGGATGGAAAATTGCTTCACCAATGGACTTTTCATAATCACTATCTTGTCTCTTCAATCTTTAATGTGATCTGCTATGAACCCATGAGTCTCACTCCAAGTGTGGAGTTGAAGCTTCAGCTCAAATGTCCTTAAGGAACCAATCAAAATTAGCCTAAGTTTTGCTTGGCTGTCATAGCATCATCTACCTACTGAGGTGTGTTCATAAAGCTCCAACCTATCCTGATCTAATTTGTTATCATGTAAAAATTACACTACAAATATCCAACCATGATCTGTTAAATGGCACACATGCATTTTAATTGTTGCACAAGCTGAATATTTGGCCATTGGTACCTTGTTGGACTGTGATTTCCAAATTGGAGACTCGTCTGGCTCAAGCGTGGTTTACTCAATCAGTCAAATCCTATCCCAAATAACAACCTCCATCAAAGGCGAAGATGATCAATTCAAAGAGAAAAAATCAAAATAGCACTTCACCTGACTTCGAATCAAGCCTTTCAAACACATTCGATTACTCTGTCCCTCACAGACTTGGCCGCTGTGACCAGTCATGTGACTCATGTGGAGCGCTCCATTGGAATGACGAGGCAACTATTGTCAATAAGCTAAAAAAAAGAAATCCTACTCGACCTGCTGCCAGAAGAACAAGGTACACCTCCTGGACTTTGATGAAGGTGTGCCAAGGTATCCGTCAATGATGAGGGGACTTCTAACAGGAAAAGATGAAGGTGAGCATTTCTTAGATGTTAATTAACGTGAGCTAATAAGATGCTTGGACTAGATTCTGTAAACTTCCAGCAGATGACGCAAATGTACAACAATGTGATATCTTTTACATATCTTGGTGCAAAGGTTGACTACTCGGTCCAGGGGCCAAAGGGGTTGAATATTTTCAAAATCTCAGGCGGATTATCACATCGAATTTCAAGTTTGGAACCGAAAGACGACTCACTGGGCTTTGCACAAATATATGTTGTTGGCAACAATGGCATTGAAGAAGCTGAATACGAACTATCCTGCGCATTGGGATGAAGCCGACACAATATGAAGAAATCAACAATGAAACGAGGGACAATCCTCATGTTGGTTCGGCTCATGGGAGAAATTAACCCTTACGCGAAACGCTTCCGCACAGCCTTAGACGTTCTTTCAAAGACGAAAGCACAAAAAATAGGCTTACAAGGTGTCCCTTTGGCTGGGGCTGATCCTAAGCGCTATAACCGTCCAACCGTTGATGAAGTTGGCATTGTCGTTCAAGGCGAAGGCAATGTTATTGGTGAACGTCAAATTATCCTGCACCATAAAGATGAAGGTCTTGAAGAAATTTTGGATATGCATTCTTCGTATTTTCCACTGCGTTATCCCATTTTCTTTCCTTATGGCCAGCAACAGTGGGACAATTTGTATGCTGCCTGGACTGGATGTGGTGAGAGTCAATATAATTCATGTAATATATCACCTCAACTAATTTTTGATTATGTTGCAGTAAAAAATAGACGAGTGGGTTTGCTTGAGTGGTTTGCATACTTATTGTTCAGGCGCCAGAAGAGGTTCTCGCCTATTTTAGCTGGGCGGTCATTGTTGCAAGAACTACTTGTGGACATGTATGTCTGTGTCGAACATGGGAGGCTGGCATATATCACAAACAATCAAGGAAGGCTTAAGGCTGGAAATTACAGATGCTTAATAAATTCACTCAAAAACCAGTCACCCGTGGGTGGAAGATGTGTTATTTTGCCATCATTGTTCATTGGGAGTCCACGGTGTATGCAACAGTTATACCACAACACGATGGCTATTTGCAGGAAGTTTGGACCTCCATCTCTATTCATCACGATGACAGCGAACCCCAACTGGGCCGAGATTCTAGCCGAAATTCCTGCCGGAGAAAAAGTGTGTGATCATCCAACCATCGTTGCACGAGTATTTTACTTGAAGATGACGGAATTAATCAATCAACTCTTGAAGATGGAAAGATTCGGCAAAGTCTTAGCTTATGTATACACTGTCTAATTTCAGAAGAGGGGTTTGCCGCACCTACACCTCATGCTTACCCTTGCTGAGGACGATAGACCTGTAACGCCAGAAGAAATAGACAAGATTGTCTCCGCAGAGCTGCCCGACATCAAGAAATCACCAAAGCTTCATCAACTCGTCTCCGAGTTCATGCTTCATGGGCCATGCAAAGGTCAGCCATGTTGGAACGGGAAGTCATGCAAGCTTGGATTTCCTAAACCGTTTGCTGAACAAACCGTCAATGTTGATGGAGCATACCCAGTGTACAAACGGCGAGATGATGGGGTAAGAGTGCAGAAACAGGTGTCGGTGTTCAATAACGGTTCAGTTGTTCCATACAACCCATACTTGACGCTCAACTTCCAGTGCCACATAAACGTTGAAGTCCCGGTCAACACGACGGCTATCAAATATCTTTATAAGTATATCACCAAAGGACATGATAGGATGGCTTTATCCTCTGATTCCCAGGATGAAGTCAAGTGTTTTGTCGATGGGTGGTATATAAGTGCAGTTGAAGGTAAGCTATCTCCTATCTACCAATAAGGCTGTTGCTGAAGCATGAATACAGCTGTGTGGCGTCTGTTTAAGTATCCACTCTCGGACAGGTTCCCACCAGTGGTGCGACTTGTGGTGCACAATGAAGATTAACAACTCGTCTACTTTGAAGGGGAGGATAGTTTGGCCGGTCAAATCAGCAGTGGGAAAGCCGGTCAAACAACACTCACCGGTTTTTTCGAGTTGAATGCTGCTGATGCGGTGGGAGCTGATGGCATCCATGTTAG